TTGGATGGGCGAGGGCGTTCTGCCACGGAATTCAATCGCGTCTTTTTGCGGGCGGTTCACGTGGCCGAAGGGCATGGGGGTCGTCCAGCAGCGCCAGGCCGTCTCCAAGTGGTTTCAAAACTGGCGCACACAAGGTGGACATGGCACGGCGGGCGTGCATGGCCGACGCCGCGCGCGGGGCAACCAAGGGCGCCCGAACAAGGCTCCATGGCTGGAAGCCGCTCTGTACGAGTGGTGGTCCCACATGAGGTACTCCGTGGACTGGAAGGCGGTGGCCAAGCGAACCGCAGTTGCGGAGGAGAGGCCCAAGATGTTGGCCAGGTTCTCCCAATCCCTGCTGGTTACGAAGGCGAAGCAACTCGTCGCGGACTACTGCGTGGAGACAATGAAGCGGGGAGGCAAACCGATGGTGCCGCAGTTGCGGCCTCGGTGGTGGGTGAAGTGGCGGCGCTCCTACGGCCTGAGCATGAAGAAGCCGAACCGCAAGTACAAGGTGCCAAATGGTTGCTCCAATCTCGTTTTGAGACTATGATCTTGAACGTGGCCAGGGTCCGCGCAGCTGCAGAGGAGCTTCTGGGGTACGACCCGCACATCCTGAACTGGGACCAGTCGCCCTTTCACCACAACGAGTCGTCGTCGGCCTCGAAGCCGACCTTGGCTGTGAAGGGTGGCATTGTCCCGCTTGTCGAGGCGCATGACGACAGCAGGGCTCGGTGGACAGCGAACCTGACGGTGTCGAGCGACGCGGAGGACATCCGCAGTTGCGGACCACCGCCGGCGGAGCTAATGTTCAAGGGGGGATCTGTCATCGCTGAGGGCTTGGCCGCACATGCCCGCAGTCGCGGCTATCCGTCTTGGGTGAGCACGGCGACGTCCGAGAAGGGGTCCTACCGCGCAGACGACGTTGTATCATTCTTGCAGCGGCACTTGCGGGCCTGGCCCGACGACCCGCAGTTGCGGGGAAAGTGGCGCATCCTCATGGCCGACGACCATTCCCCGCACAAAGCAGACGCTGTGCGGAGACTCGCCTGGCAGCGCGGCTACGTGCTGATCATTCACGGCGGGGGGACGACCGCAGTTGCGCAGCCCGTGGACACGGACTTGAACCAGCACGTGAAGCGCCGGTACATTGCCCTCGAGACCAAAGCGCTGGTGCAGCAAATGGCGTTGGGGAAGCACGTGCCGCAGTTGCGGCGTTCCGATTGCGCCGACTTGATGCTGTCAGTGTTGGAGGATGTGCAGTTGCACTTGGACGCCGCGAAAGGTTTCCTGAAAGTGGGAATTCGAGCGCCCTTCGACAAGTCAGGAGATCTCGAGATTTGCCGAGAGGCGGCGGAACTCTGGGAAGCAGGGGGGCTGCGAGCAAAAGTGGACACCGCAGTCGCGGAGGTGAGGGAAGAATGCGAGCAGAAACGTTTGAAATGGTCCTACAATGACGTGCTGCGTCTCATACACGAATACGAGAAACACGACGCCACAGATTCCGTGTTGGAGAAGCTCGGCGACGAAGCGCTAGGCCAGGAGCCAGGCCACGAGGAGGGCGATGAGGAGGGCGGGGAGGAGGAGGAGGAGGAGGTGCACGAGGAGCACGAGGAGGACGAAGAGCAAGAGGAGGCCTCGTGGGCCGAGGCTCTTGCGGAACAGTGCGATGCCGCAGTTGCGGCACCTGGGCCTCAAGGATCCTCGGTATCCATGGACTGCGTGGTCGACGCAGAGGCGGCCGAGCAGGTGGCAGTGGCGACGTCCTTGGCAGAAACGCTCCGCGAGGCGGAAGATATGCTGCGCCAAGTGGGCATGGAGAAACTAGCGCAGGATTGCCGACAGCAACGACACAAACAAAAGAAGCGGTTGAGAGAGCTGGCGCGGGAGGACAACGAGGTCCTACGAGCGTTGACTGCCCAGCGAGACCACGAAGCCGCAGTGGTGGCGAAAAAGCGGCGCCTGGCTCTGGAAGCGAACGACAGGACGAAGGCGTTGCACGATCTCAAGAAGCAGATTCGAGAGGCCGAGGCCGCCTTGAGGGCAAAGAAGGAGGCCGCAGTTGCGGTGGAAACGGCTTTGGCTAACAAACACGCCCTAGCGCAGTGGAATCCCGAGGAGTTCAAGATCAAGAAAAACAGGATGGCAGCTCTGGATCGCCTGGCTCGCGGAAAAGGCGTCCTCTCAGACGAGCAGAGGGGGGAGTGGGCATGGTTCAAGACGCATTGGGACGAGGAGATGTGCAAGCAGCACAAGGAGCAATGGCCGCTCACGTTTGCTGGGTGGCTGCAAAAAGTCGCGAACGACGCGGCGTCTGGGAACCGTTCGGCGCTGTCGCAGTTCGTGCATTCGGAAACAGTGAGAACCCTGGGAGGGCAAATGGCGCTGGTAATCCCAGCCCTAGCGTGATGCAGGCCGCAGTTGCGGACCCACAGGAAGTCCAGAGGGAAGTTGTTTTTCCAAGCGGCTCCCGCGCGGGCAGGAGATGAGGCAAAACCGCAGTTGCGGTCTTCCTGCTGCTGTGAAAATAATCCTTTCACAGTCCCTTGCAATCGTCGCCCTCCTTCTGCTTCTCCGCCAGTCCATTTGTTGTTCTTTCGGTTCCTTTGAGTCCTCGCCCTCCTTCTGCCACTCCTCGAATCCTCTTTGTCTCCTCCCTCCATCCGACCCCATGCCCATTCACGATCCATTTCCGTAGCCACCGTGGCTCGAGGTGGCGCACGCGAAGACGCAAGCATGTGGCCGCCCGCGCGCCCGAGCGCATCCTCAGGGAGTATGGACCGTGGACTTCGATTCGCCAGAACGGTGTTCATCCACAACGCTGAGGAGGAGGAGGGAGGCAAAGACGAGGAAGCCGCAGTTGCGGATGATGACGACGACCAGCGGACGCAAGATGGCGACAGCACCGTCGCGTCCTCGGCTGCCTCCGCTGACGAGGCTGAGTCCCGGGGAGGTGCGGGAGCCGCAGTTGCGGCAGCACATGACTCCTACATGCCGAGAGTGTTGTCGTCGCGGAGACCCTGGAAACGGGTGCCCATCATCGAGACAAGCAATCTGTCGGAAAAACAAAGAGCTCTTGTCGACGCATGGGAGGAGAAAACGGAGTTCGAAGCGGGACGGGTCGGCTTCTACGTGGCCAACTTCGGAGGGACTGCAGCTAGACCCACGCAACGCGCGGACGAGTGGGCGCAGCTCCGCGCGAACCCTGCCCAGATCATCGCCCTCTGCGAGTGCGACGACGAGACCTGCGCGGTACTCAGTGGGGAGCACGACGCGAGGGACAGTGCAGCCGCAGTTGCGGACGATAGGTTTCGGAGTCGGACTCAATACAACTACCTGTGCGTTAAGGGCGGCGAGCCATCAGGGACCCTCCTTGTTGGCATGAGGGACCGCAGTGGCGGCCACATTGAACGCGTAGACTTTGCGAGACTCTTCCACAAGCAGGAGAAGTCCAAAACGAAGAAGAAGAAGAAACAGTCCGCAGTTGCGGAGGCTCCTGCGCCAAAGCTGCACAACAAGTACTCCAGGGTGATGGTGGTGCGCGTCCACCTGGACCAGGCCGTGACCCATTTGGGGGGCTCCTTCAACGTCATGGCGGTGCACGTCCACCACAGCTTGGCCAACCAAGACTGGGGCGTCACGAAGCTCCATGAGTTCTACAACTGGCTCGTCGCCTACGTCAGGGAATGGGACGTGAAGGTCTGCATGGGGGACTTCAACATGTGCATGTTCCAGCTTGTGTCCTGGTGCCGCAATTGCGGCCTGACTGTGGACGTCGCCGCGTGGACCCCCTGGGAGACAGCAGGCGGCCAGCCCAGGGCAGACAGCATGGCGATTTTGTTCATAAACTGTCCTGGGCAGTACAAGCTTCACCATGGCCTGGGTGTTCTGCACGACCGTGAGGGCGGATTCTTGACGACCCAGCATGATCCGTCTTTCCCTGTCTTCGACTACACGAATGGCCCTGGGAAGATGCTTCAGACTTACGTGCCCAAGGCTGAGCCCGTTGAAAACAAGATGCGCGCCTTCCTGACGCCATCTGGCGAATCCTTGACCGCAGTTGCGGAGTTCGAGCAAAGGATGGCGCGCAGGGAACGCGACGATTGGGTGCGCCATCCCTTCAGAGTGAAGCAGGGCAACCTCGACGACAAGATATGGCATGGCGCCTTCGGCAGGGCGAGGCACGGAGCGCACTTCCCTCTGGTGGCTTTCACGCACAATACGTGCCGCAGGTCACCTGAAAGACTCGCCGCGAGGTTGGAACGCAGGAAGGGCGGCAGGAAGGGCGGCAAGAAGGGCGGCAAGAAGGGCAGCTACGCGGACACCGCAGTTGCGGGGAAGGGCGTCCGACCCCAGATGGGAACCGCAGTTGCGGGGAGAGACGCTGGGGCTGAGCGAGCTGGGAACACGCCACCGCCGCAAGCTGCCAACGGCGACGATGCGACCCCTTCTTGTGCCGCAGTGGCGGCTGGGTCCTGGGACGCCAGCGGCAGCGGCGCATGGGAGGCGCGCAGTCCCGCCACGAGATGGCAGGGCTGGTCCTGGTGGGACTGGAGCTCGAGCGAATGGGGCGCTGATGGCGCGCAGTGGTGGCCCTCTGATCATGCCGCAGTTGCGGACAATGCCCCTGAGGGCTCGCCTCCTCAGCGTGAAGTCGAGTGGGGCTCGAGCGGGCGACCTGCCGAGCGCCCTCCGTGGAGCTTCGAGGGGCAGTGTTGGTGATGGCCGCAGTTGCGGGCAAGTGGAACATGATGTTGATTGCCGCAGTTGCGGACAGTGTACGCTGGAAAAATCATCATCATCATCAATCATAGTCATCATCATATCATCATATCATACGTTCAAAGCAGTGCCGGGGCACTGCTTTGAACGCGTTCAAAGCAGTGCCGGGGCACTGCTTTCGATCGTCGCCTCGTCGCAGTTATAAGGGCTATTGGATTAGGGGGCCAGGAACAACTAGAAACGAGCACACTTCGAAATGAGCACGACGAGAAATGAACGACGTGCACGTCCCTCGGAAGGACAACCGCGGGCTGCGCCTGGACCCCCCCGCGGACGCCATCGTGACCTCGCCCCCCTACCCCGGGGTGTACGACTACCTCGCCACGGCCGGCCTGGCCCGCCGGCGGGTAGCCCGCGGCGCCGCCGGCGCCGCGCTGCCAGGCTGCTGGCTGGGTGTTGTGCACTGAGGGGGGGGGGCGACCACCGGGGGGGCAGCGAGGGCCGCAGAAAAGGAGCCCTCTGGGGCCCCCAGAGGGGGCCCTTTGGGGCACCCACCCGGAGATCCGGCGCTCCAAGAAAATTGGGGCGGCGGGATTTTGGCCATGTTGGCCTCTGGGGGCCCTCGCAGGGCCTCGGGAGCGACAAAAAACGGCTCAGGACGAAAAACCGGTCCTGGGGAGGCGGTCCGGACCTCCAGGGCCCACGCATCGAGAAAATTGGAGCAGCCCTATGTCTGGGTAAGGGGCCTTACAGAGGATCCCAAAGAGGGCCATCAGGGTCTGAAAAAAATGCACCTTGCTCACCCCCTCCCATTGCTCGCCCCCTCCGTTAAGCAAGGGCTCCCACGAGGGCGCGAAGTTATTCGCGCTTCGCGCTTCGCAGTCCTCGTTCCTTCTCCCCCTCCTCTTTGTGCTCCTTTTCTCCCTGGGGGGAGGCGGCGCGAGAGCGCGAAGTCATTCGCGCTTCGCGCTCCGCGCAGCGCGAGAGCGCGAAGCTGGGATCCCTATAGGTTGAGCGACGCCCAAGGCTTCCTGCGGGGCCCTCTGGCGGCGGGGGCGCCAGGCGCCGCGGGCGCCGCGGCCTCGGCGGTCGAGGAGCTGGGCGCCAGGCGTGGGTGGCTGGAGCGCGGCCCCGCGGAGTTCGCGGAGGCGTGGCAGCGCCAGCAGGAGCAGTGGCTGGCCGCCGCGTTCCGGAGCCTCCGCCCCGGGGGCACCGCGACGCTGAAGATCGGCGACGGCGACGCCGAGCTGGAGGGGGGGCACTACGTGGACAACCTGGCGTCCACGCTGCGGGCCGCCGAGGCGGCCGGCTTCGCGGTCGTGGCCACGGCCACGATCGAGAGTTGCGCGGACGAGGCCCCGCCCACGCAGCAGCCAGCCCGGCCCTCCAATATCGCGGAGCAGAGCGAGTTGAGGCATTGGCAGCCCAAAGTCGGTCCTTGGGCCCTCCCTGGGCGCTTGCGCTGCGTCCAGTCGTGGCGACGAGGGGCCCCCGAGGGCCAACTAATTACCGGTGCCTCAATTGGCCCTGTTCAGAAATTCTGCCCACCGCGCAGCAATCCGTCCCCAGCGGGGCTGCCGGGGGCCACTCCCGCGCGGCACCTCGCCGGCCTCGCGCTGGGGGGGCCGCCGGGGGGGGGAAACACCTTAGGGAACAATTTTTACCCCCAGACGGCACTCGGCGCAGTGCGGGGCCGCCGGGGGTCCCCGCCCGCGCGGCACTCCACCAGTTCCCATGCTGGAGGGGCTGCCAGGTGGACCCCTCCCGGGGGAATGGAAGGCGGGCGCCTCCCGCAACGCGTCGGGCGTCACCCTCCAGACCCTCGGCCGCGGGGAGGGCACGCAGGCCAAACGCTGGGGGGCCCGCCTGCGGGTAGGTGCCCGCGCCGGGCGGCCCGGCCAGGCGCGCGGTCCCGACACTGCGGGCCGCGTCAAGCCCAGCGGAAGGAAGGGGAGGAGGAGGAGGAGGAGGAGGAGGAGGGAGAGAGGGAGGGAGGAGGAGGAGGAGGAGGAGGGGAGGAGGAGGAGGAGGAGGAGGAGGAGGAGGAGGAGGAGGAGCGGAGGAGGAGGAGGGAGGGAGGAGGAGGAGGAGGAGGAGGAGGAGGAGGAGGAGGAGGAGGAGGAGGAGGAGAGGAGGAGGAGGAGGAGGAGGAGGAGGAGGAGGAGGAGAGGAGGAGGAGGAGAGGAGGAGGAGGAGGAGGAGGAGGAGGAGGAGGAGGAGGAGGAGGAGGAGGAGGAGGAGGAGGAGGGAGGCGGAAGAAGCGGAGAAGGAGGAGGAGGCGAGGAGGCGGAGGAGGAGGAGGCGGAGGAGGAGGAGGCGGAGGGGATGAGGAGGAGGAGGAGGAGGAGGAGGCGGAGGAAGCGGAGAAGGAGGAGGAGGAGGAAGCGAAGAAGGAGGGCGAGGAAGAGGAGGAGGAAGGAGGAGGAGGAGGCGGAGGAGCAGGAGCAGGAGCAGGAGGAGGAGGAGGAGGAGCAGGAACAGGAGCAGGAGCAGGAGCAGGAGCAGGAGCAGGAGCAGGAGCAGCACCAATGGTCCGATGATGTGCGTCTAACTAGCGACGCAGCCAGGGCACCCGAAAAAAGGAAGATGAGCGGACCAGGCGTTCGAGAACCACTAAAGGGGTTCGATCGCCTGTGGGGTCCTGCATGGGGGATGAGGAGGAGGAGGAAGAGGAGGAGGAGGAGGAGGAGGAGGAGGAGGAGGAGGAGGAGGAGGAGAGGAGGAGGAGCAGGAGGAGGAGCAGGAGTGAGGGCGGAGGAGGAGGAGGAGGAGGCGGAGCAGCGGAGAGGCGGAGCAGGCGGAGGAGGCGTGAGGAGGAGGAGGAGGAGGAGGAGGAGGAGGAGAGAGGAGGAGGAGGAGGCGGAGGAGGAGGAGGAGGAGGAGGAGGAGGGGCGGAGCAGGCGGAGGAGGAGGAGGAGGAGGAGGAGGGAGGAGGAGGAGGAGGAGAGGAGGACGCGGCGGCGGCGGAAGAGAGCGAGGCCCACAAGACCCACGGCATGCTGCGCACGGAGCACGCGGTCCACCTCCGGCGGCCGCTGCCCGCCGAGGGGGGGCCTCCCCCGCGGGCGGCCGGCGCCTGGCCTTCGACCTGGCGGCCGCCCTCGCCAGCAGCAGAAAAAAGCGTCCGCCGTCGCCGTCGCTCCTCCTCCTCCTCCTCCCTCTCCTCCTCCTCCTCCTCCTCCTCTCCCTCCTCCTCTCCTCCTCCTCTCCTCCTCCTCCTCCTCCTCCTCCTCCTCCTCCTCCTCCTCCTCCTCCTCCTCCTCCTCTGTCGCCGTTTTCGGGCCTTCGGGGCCCTCCGCGGGCCCCAGGAGTGTCCCAGAACACGGCCCAGGAGGAAACATGTGTCATGGGGAGAGATCGGAGGAGCGTATTTATACACCAAGCCATTCCCCGGATGTAGAGTTCATCGCAGGTTTTTTTTTTTCGGCGCCGCCTGGTTTTCCAATCTTCTCTCGTGGACAGGTGCTGCGTGTCCCCTCCGCTGCGCCGCGCGTCTTCCTCCTCCTTCCCTCCGCTGCGCCGCGCTTGCCCAAACGCGCCCCAGACGGGGCGCATGGCATGCGCGCTCTCTGTCGGCAGCTGCGCTAACGCCGTCTTGGCCCACGCGCTCTGCAACAAAACGCCCCGAACAGGTCGGTGCATAGATGTACGCCTCCCAGGAGATGCCGATGCCGCTGCTCAGTCCTGGAGTGCCCTGGTCGCCACGGCCAGATCTCTCTCGAGATTCTCACCGAGATGCACCAGGGAGGGCGTCGGGGCAGCGGTGCCAGTTCCTTTTGGTCTCGGCGCCGTCTCCGAGGTGAGAGCGAAGAGGCGACGGAGTGGTTTGGGTACAGTCATCCCGCATAGCAAGGATGGGCAACCTTCCCAAGGGGGTACCCTTGCATCCTTGCCCCTTCGGTCTGTAAATCGGGCACGCCCCTCTACAGGAGGGAAATTCAAGAATAACATAAACATGATATGAGGACGATGTTCGACTACTTTTGTTTTTTTGTTGGTTGATTGTTCATTATCTTCCATTTTTCATCATCTTCTATCCTTCGCTGCTTTCGCTGGCCGCGCCCCGCTCGAAAAGCTTCGAAACGGGTGCCCAAGGCCCTTGCATCCTCATCGTGCATCCCTACCATGCTGGTTGGCCGTAGTTTTCTGCGCAGCCGCCGAGCCGGGTCGGTCCCGGAGGAGCCTCCCTTCGAGCGACTCCTTGCGGAGCCCGTGGCCGCCCGCACACCTCTTGCGATGGTCTACACTCAGATAGACAGTTATCGGGCTTGGAGGAGGAGGAGGAGGAAGAGGAGGAGGAGGAGGAGGAGGAGGAGGAGGAGGAGGAGGAGGAGGAGGATGGGAGACATGATCAGGTCGTCCGTATTACCGCGTATGTTGAATGTGTTTATTACACAGTCGTGCCTTGTATTTTCCCAGCCCCCTCCTCCCAACCCGATTATTGCCTTCGTCATGCATGGTCTGAGCGCTTCTCCCCCCTTGTGCACAGCTGGCACCTCCGCAGCACGGCGCCCGTTTCGACCGCACGGAACGACCGCCAGCGCTGCGACCAAACATGCCATTGGCAGTTTTTGGCCTGTGGGGACATCAGACAGGGCCCCAGGACCATCAACAAAACACGACTCGAGATGGGCAGCCGTCCCTGGGGAAGGGGTGGAGGTCTCGGGGGGCCAACGATGTGAAAGTGTCACGACGCTGGGGGTCTCGGGTTTCGGACGTCGAGATCGTAGTTGGGCCTCGGGAGGCCCCCAGGGGACTACAGGGATTTCTGGAGCCCCTCGGGACCTCCTCATCCGTCCGCCTACCTCCGATCTGGCGCGCGCGCGCGTGTGTGTGTGTGTGTGTGTGTGTGTGTGTGTGTGTGTGTGTGTGTGTGTGTGTGCGTGCGTGTGCGTGCGTGAGTGCGTGCGTGCGTGCGTGCGTGCGTGCGTGCGTGCGTGCGTGCGTGTGTGTGTGTGTGTGTGTGTGTGTGTGTGTGTGTGTGTGCGTGTGTTCATCTATTGCTACATTTTTATTATCGGCATGTGGGGGCAATTTGCGGGCCTTTGGGCTGCAAGGTAATGATCCAATGTGAAAGCTTTGCCGTAGGCAAGGTTCGAGAGTCTGGGGACCGTCGCTCTCCCGAAACTTGCGCCATCGCCGTCGCCGTGCTCGTCCTCGTCGTTGTCGTCATCATCACCCCCACCGTCACCGCCACGTGCGTCATGGTTTCAGCCTCTCTCGATCATCGATGGAGCGAGAGATAGCCCAGTGTAGGCTTACCTCGCTACCATCCATCGGTCATGTTGGATCCCTTGACGGCCCTGCGCTCCTGTGCTCATGTTCTGAAGGGCTTTGGACATGCAGCTCTCCTGGATCATCGTCCCCCTCCTCGTCGTCGTCGTCGTCGTCGTCGTTGTGTCGGCGTCGGCGTCGGCGTCGGCGTCGGCGTCGGCGTCGTCGTCGGCGTCGGCGTCGGCGTCGGCGTCGGCGTCGGCGTCAGCGTCGGCTTCGTCGTTGTCGTCGTCGTCGTCCTTCTACTCGCCACTTGATGGCGTCGGCCTGGCGCGGCCGCGCCAAAGGATAGGCGCGCTGAACGGCTGCTACGGCTCGCTGCCGCTGGGCTTCGACCGGCGCATGGACTCGTGAGGGGCGCACGGGCCCGCGGAGGGCTGCCTCGTGGGCGCGTGCGAGGGTGGTGCGCGCGAGGCGCGGCGGGCAGCGCAGCTCTCCTCCTCCTCGTCCTCGTCCTCCTCCTCCTCCTCCTCCTCCTCCTCCTCCTCCTCCTCCCAGGGCCGGCTCCTCCGCCCGAGTCGCTGCTCGAGGCGTGCGCAGCGCCCGGCACGCCCTACCGGCTCTTGGCGACGAGAACAGATCGTGCCAGTGGCTCTCTGCTGCTCGGAGCGCCTGGGGCTTTTCCTGTGCAGATCCGAGCCGGAGCCGTCGAAGAAAGGCCCAGGAAGGCACACCGGTCCCAGGGAAGCGGTCGAGAACTCCATGGGCCGGCGGCGCTAGAATATTCGTATTCAGATTTTCCAGCCCTGTCCAGTTCTCGGTTCGTCTTGTCTCGGCTGTTTCGGGCTTGTTTCAGCCCTGGCCAGTTTTGCGAGCCTGGCCACTTACATTCTTGTGGAACTTTCAGCTTCCACCTTTCGCTCCAATTCGGTTTCGCCATTGGGTGTTTTTGGTGACGAGTTCCGATGGGTGCCGGACCCGGTCGCGCCAGGGTTCCTCGGGGTGCTTTGTGTTTTTTCCTTGCAGTGGCGTTCCTTGGGGCTCCTTGGTTTTGTTTCCTACTGCCAAGCGGCGTTCCTGGGGGTTCCTTGGTCTTGTTTCCTTGGTTCCCTGGACTTAGTTCCTTGCTGCCTTCCTTAACTTCCTTGGTTCTGTGGTTCTTTGTTTCTTTGTTTCCTTGGTTTCTTGGCTCTTTGGTATTGATTCCTTACAAGCGTGTTATCTTTGGTACGTTGGTTCCTTTATCTTTGCTCCTTGCTGCCTCGCCACGCAATTCTAAGCAGCGCCAAGCAATGCCACGCAATGCCACGCAATGCCATGCCATGCCAAGTAACGCCAAGACTTGCCAAGCAATGCAATGCCATGCAACGCAATTCCAAGCAATGGCATGTAATGCTAAACAATGCCAAGCATTCTGCCAGACAAGTTAGCCAGAGTGGACCCCAAACAATGTGTTTCCAGTGATCTTTATACATATATATGTATGTATATATACTGTGCAACATCTGTGGTAGAATCTACGTGGTGCACGCTATGTTGTGCAATCTACGTGGTGCAATATATGTTGTGCAATATGTGTGGTGCAATCTATGTGGTGGAATCAATTTCTGTTCGCTGTGAGTTGTCCACTCCACTGCTCGCGCAAACATCCCACCCACCCACCCGCAACTTGCAAAATCTCTTAAGACCGTGACGGTGGGTACCAAATGGCACTTGGCAACGACAGCGACGACGACAGCGACAACGACGACGACGCCGCCGACAACGACTACGACGACACCGACGACGTCTCCAACGACTTCGACGACGCCGACAACGACGACGACCACGACGACGACGACGACGACGACACCGACGACGACTTCGACGACGCCGACGCCGACGACGACGACGACAATGACAACGACGACGACGATGACGACGACGACAACGACGACACCGACGACGACGACGACGTCAACGACGCCGACGACGACGACGACGACGACGGCGGCGACGACGACGACGCCGACGTCGATGACGACGACGCCGACGACGAAGACGACGAAGACGACGAAGACGACGACGACGTCGCCAAAGCAGACGACGACGAGGGAGGAGGGAGGATGACGACGGCGACAACGACGACAACGACGACAACGACGAGGGAGGAGGGAGGACGTCGACGACGCGAACGACGAAAAAGGAGGAAGGACGGCGACGCCGACGACGACAACGACGAGGGAGGAGGGAAGACGACGATGACAACGACGACGACGACGACGACGACGGCGACGAAATAGGAGTGACGACGACGAGACGCCGACGATGGACGACGACGACGACGAGAGATGAGGAGGAGGAAGGACGACCACGGCGAAAACGACGACGGAAATGACCACGACGCCAAAGAGGACGACGACGACGAACTCGAGGAAAGACAGAGGACGACGTGGGCGACGACGACGACGACGACGCGGGAGGAGGGAGGACGGCGACGACCACGACGACGCAAGAGCGCGCGCATGCTTTTGTTGAAAATCCGTGTTGCGAAACCTCGTGTTTTTGTGGGTTTCTCGGACACACGATTTTGAAATCCTTCCGAAACCGATGGGTTTTGAAGGATTTCGGCATACGCGCGCGACGACGCGCGCCTCTGCACTTCGCCTTAATTTGTTGCAGAGGATTCTCGCGACGGCACACGCGCAAGGGCGTTCGACAGATTTCGACATGCGCGCGCGAAGCCCGTTTGTTAGCATTTTGTGAAAACCTTGAAAACCAATTGCTTTCTTAAGATTTCGCAAGAGCTCGCGCGTACGCTGTTTTAGCACATCAGTGTTGCGAAGCCATCTGTTTTTGTATGTTTTTTGTTTGGAGGC